AATAGTAGTTGTAGTAGTAGTAATAGTATTAACCGTAGCAGTAGAGATAAGAAGAGATAGTAAGAAGTGAAAGAAGTGATAGTCGATGGTAGTTGCAATAGTATAGTAGAAGACAAACTTGGAGAAANAATAGTAGTTGTAGTAGTAGTAATAGTATTAACCGTAGCAGTAGAGATAAGAAGAGATAGTAAGAAGTGAAAGAAGTGATAGTCGATGGTAGTTGCAATAGTATAGTAGAAGACAAACTTGGAGAAAGTAAAAGAGGAAGAAAATGAAAGAAAAGAAGTAGATGTAGAAATAGTAGAAGATGATAAAGAACAGCAGCCCCTTAAAGATACTAGAAATACGCTCGCTTAAATGTCATTTAAACATTACTTTGGACGCAATTAATTTCTTATTATTCGTTTTTTCATGGTTTTTTGGCTAGATTGAACGGCGGAGAGTCGGCTAAATACTATATTTCCTTACTTCCTTCTATCTTTCCCTCTCTTTCTCTCTCTCTCTCTCTCTCTCTCTCTCTCTCTCTCGCTCGCTCGCTTTCTTGCAAACAGACACACGCACTCACCAACGTCGCGTATTCTTTCATCAGATTTTGGATGATCGATGAAATCGATCTTTCCGTCATTTTCTCGCGGACAAATTTTGTCGAACAGCGCATCAGCTGTTTGGCCGTCATGCCATCCTTCCTTCCGCCTTTCGTCCTCGATATCGTTTCTTTCCAATTCGCTCTTTTGCTCTAGCATTTTTACCATTTCCATTCTTTCTCACTTTCGTTCGTTCGCTCGCTTCCTCTCTTCCGCATGTTTGTTCGAGTACTCTTACGTTTTATCGTTAGTTTGCTAGTTAAATTTAGTAGTAACGCGATAGTACTTTAATAAGGCCCAGTAAGGCTACGTGGGTGAACGAACGATCCCACAGAAATTTCATATACGTTTCTCGCTTTTCTTAAAACTGGCGCGGTTCCTTTTACGGTCGTGATGCGTCTAGTCGCGTTCCGTCGCCGTATCGTCTCGTCCGATTCGAGTTCGCTTTCGAACGTGCTACCGACAATGAGCTAGTCCACGATGAATCGTAGCGTCGTCGAACGAGCGATTTTGATATCGGCTGCTCTGTTCGGTCCCCCTCGGATAGCCCTATCGGCCCTAAGCTCTCTACAAACTAGCAACGAAACTCTGCTCGTTGAAAACGACGAGAGCCGTCGCGGTTCGCTCGTCCGATCAACAACGGCAGCACGCTCGTCCCGACGACGAAACTCGAAAACCAAATGAACACGGAAAAATGAAGGGAATTGTCGGCCCGATAGCTTCGAAACCTTCTCCAAGAGACCACTACCGAGATCGATTATTGTCACGTTGTATTGTTCGTTATACGGAATTTCGACGATCTCCGATCGCGAACTCCGTCGCGGCGATCTTGTTTTCCGTTCGCGTATCCGACGAGCTCGACGGGGTGAAATCTATCGAATCGCGACTACGATTTCATAGGGGACATACGTGCGCGCGTATCTCGAAGAATTCTCCTAGAATAGTTCTTCCGTGCGTGCGGACTCGTAGAGCGGTAGAGCCGTATCCGTGTAAGCGCGTGTGTACGTATTTGCGCGAGCGTCCGTTCGCCGCGTCGCGTACTTCGAACGAAGCGCGATTTACGGAACGTTCCTAAGACTATGGTTTCCGGTAAGAACGAATCGAAACAAGTATGTAGACTCGAGAGGTATGGTAGAGGAAGATACGAGATACAAGTTACATACGATACACGATACACGGTACGAAGAAGAAACGAGAAAGGAAAACTAGATACGGAGAGACTCTATCGTAACGATCCTATACGCTCGATAGAAAAAGATGCATCGCCGATGGCAGTTTGTGTATGCGTGCTTGCGTGCGCGAGTGCTTGCGCCGCGTCTATGTGTGTGTTTTAATCGCGTTCGAGTCGCCACAGTCGACACAGACAACGTGGAAAAGTATTCGAGAAACATGTACACGCATGCTAGGTCCCTGCCAACCTTTTACAATCGCATACGCTTCCTCGACTAATTCTTTAACAATATTAATAACAATACTAATAATAATAATAATAATAATAATAATAATAATAACAATGATAACGGCGATGGTAAAAATATTAACAACAACAATAATAATAATAATAATAATAACAACAACAATAATAATAATAATAATAATAATAATAATAATAATAATAATAATAATAATAATAATAATAATAATAATAATGATGATGATGATGATGATGATGGCGGTGACGACGATGTTGGTAATGATGATGATGATAATAATGGGGTGATTATGATTATGACTATGACTATGACTATGACTATGATTATGACTATGACTATGATTATGATTATGATTATGATTCTGACGACGACGACGACGATGACGACGACGACGATGACGATAACGGTGATGGTGATGGTATTGATGACGATGATGATGATGATAAATATAATAAAGAGAAGAAAAAGAGAAAGAAGAATAACGAGATAGTCGTGGACGCGCGACCCACCCCGCGACTCGGCGCGTTTCAAAGTGTTCATTCATTCCTCGTGTCAATATTTCGATTTTGTTTAAATTCATATTCGTATTCGTAATCGTATTCATATTCGTACGCGCACATACAGATCCACGTGTAGTACGTATAGCATAGAAATGTATATGCGTGTAGAGCACTTAACAGTATAGTAGCTCGCTTGTCCTTTTTTGCTAAATCGTTTACTCGATACTTTCATACGTTCCGCGTAAAAAACAAGGCAATCGGATTGAGTGTTTCTTTTTTTTTTGTTCTTCCTATCGTTTACATCTTAAAGTTTAACCACACACCCACGCTTAAGTATCTCCTACTCGGCACGAATCACCTCGTATGTTCTTTGTATCGTCGTATATAGAATATATACATAATAAATATGTGAAATCACTTTCTCTCTTTCTTTTACTTTCAGTAGTTTTTTTACTTTCATCGTTGAACATCGCGTACTCCCCCCGTAACGCGCGCAATTAATAAGAAAAGACTAAGCTCTCGGTAAGAATTTCGATTGATTCCCGCGCGCATCTTTGCTACCTTTCCTTCGATACAATTTACTAACCGCGTAGAAACCAACTTTATAGTTATATACCTATCCCTATTATATTAAATTTAATATTTCGTAAAAGATGCTTATACCTTAACCGATCGAGGTTTCCCTTTGATTCCCACTGTATCTCACATCTGTTTCCACGCTGTACCATCCTCTTCGTCCCTTTCATTCCATTCTCTCTCTCTCTCTCTCTCGCCTTTTCTGTTTCTGCCTATACTCGCTTTCGCGCATTCGTCGCTCCGAGTCGCATCGACGTTCAAGTGTAATTCAATTTTATTATACTATCTAGAAACCTCGTTGGGTAAACTCTTTCCTGGCAGTCCGACTGCGAGCGTATCTCGTTCACTCTTATTCTCTTACTCTTTCTCTCTCTCTCGCGCGCGCGCGCTCTCTCCCTCTTTCTCTCGGTCTCTCTTTTTCTCTTTCTCTTTCTCTTCCTGGCGCGCACGCATGCATACAGACACAAATACAGCAACAGGCAAACATACGTTGACCCTAGTTTTCGCTAGCGATTGCGAATACAGTCGTCGGCGAATCTAGCTGCGCCTAAAACCGACGATCGGTTCGCAGGATCGGCTCGCACCATCGTTTGCTGGGCGTTCCTCGTTCGCTAGGAAATCCTCGGGACCCCGCGGTCGCTGGGAAATTCCGATCTTTCTCTAATTTGTAAGAACAATTTGCTTGGACCTGGTTCGAGGACGTTCGGGGATACATTTTTGTCTGGCCGTGTTTCCGATGGGTTCACGGACGAACTCGGAACGCGTCCGTAAAGCTACCAACGAATCTAAGTCGGACCGCGTCCAGGCTCGTCTGGAACGTATCCAACGTCACGCTAGACGGACTTCGATCAAAAAGATCGTCGTCTACGCCCGATCCCCCCTACTCTCCGTCGCCCTCTCTTTCAATCTCCCTTCCTCCCCGTTTTCTCGTCTCCCCCGCCCTCTCTCCCGCTCTCTATCTATCTATCCATCCGTCTCTATCTCTATCTCCCTCCCGTGCCCGCTTTTCGTTCCTGCTCGTCCGTATAAATTGTTTCTAATAGATTCGCGAACCATCTCGGCTTCGGCTGCAACCTCGGCAGAGGTTGTGACAGAGATGTATCTGTAAGAGATCGCAACGGGATCGAGATCGAGACCGAGACCGAGATTTAGATCGAGATCGAGATCGAGAACGGAACCGTCCTTGTCCGTTTCGCGCGGCTCGGAATTATCTCCGGACGGAAGCAACGACGCGACGTCACGGTCTCTTAAGGACAACCGCACTCGTCGACCACCATCTTCGGCAAATCCCTCTTGATGATGTTCGAGTCCGGACCGTAGTAGATCAACGACATCGGCGAGAACTTGAGGGGAGCGCAGCACGGCTGCATGCCCGCCAACCGATCCATCTTCCGGTACTCCTCGATCACGTGAGTGTAATAATTGAGGAACGTGTCCGGTGTCCTGTGCCCGGCAGCGCAGTCTCCTCTGCAGTAGTTCGCGTAGTACCTGGCGACCGAAACGCGTTCGAATGTAACACGGATTCGTTGTCGGCTCGTTGTCGGCTCGCCCGATCCAAGCTACGCCGGAGCGTGAAAAGATCGGTCGAGACCCCGACGTCGAGGTTGCTTCCTTACCCCTGAGGCGCGATTATCCAGTCGTCCCAGCCGAGCTGAGAAAAGTTCACGTAGAACCTCTGCTTGCAGCATTGGCCCTTGATCGCGCCGCTGCACTCGACCGCCCGTCTCCTCACGCGCTTCACCGCCGCCGGATCCGTCCGCACCACCAGGAACGGCCTGTCCGGATCCTCGGCACCTGAAACATCGTCGACGAATCGTAGAATCGAGGACCCTTCGCCCGATCTCGAATCGTTTACCTTTCGCGTTCAAGGAGGACTCGATCACGTGCGGCGAGTGTCCGTCGAACGTCGACACGTAGACGTGGGAACCGCACCCGGTGCAGTCGACCAGCAGCGTCAACTTGTCCCTCGTCGAATCTCCGCTCGCCGTGTACCAGCTGTTCACGACTCTGGTCACGTCGAACTTTAGCCAGCCGAGCTGACCGATGTTCACCCCCAGAGACGTTACCATCTCCAGGTGTTGCCCGAGTTCCTGAGATACCAAGCCGCGGTGTATTCGCCTCTGTTTCTCTCCGCTGCAAGGGTTTGTCCTACCTCTCTCTCTCTCTCTCTCTCTCTCTCTCTCTCTCTCTCGCTCTCTCTCTCCTCGCTCTATCCTTTCGTTCTCTTTTTTCTCTTCATCTAGAATCTACGCGTACCTGCTGGATACTACTCGAAGCTTCCCGATCGGCTGAAACCCGTCAACCGTAGTCGGTTATATTGGACAAATTGTTGGTGAGGCGGCTTAAGATCGCCGCACGTTTTAACGCGATTAAATTTATAGAAATCGTAAATCGGATGAAAGCGTCAAAGTCCCTTCTTCCCCCTTTCTATCCCCGTTGAAATTCGATCTCGCACGTTCGTGCCGGCTTTGGCAAATGCTTGGAAATAACACCCGGAGGAAAGGTAACGACTGTAACGAGGGAACAAAACGAGAGTCTCGCTTTTCGGGCTTCGGGCACGGATAGAGCGCGTTCGCAGCTCCGAAAATCCGCGGGGAAGGTTGCCGAAGATGGTTTGGATCGATCGGCCGAGCAGCCGAGCAGCCGACACCGACGGGGTCGGCGGGTTCCAGCGACAGGTACATGTCCGCCTGTGCGTGGCCAGGCTGATGTCGACGATCGGTAAACGAGAGACGAGAGACCGGTGACGAGAGAGACGAGAGAGAGAGAGAGAGAGAGAGAGGGCCGAGGAATTTACCTTTCCACGCAGGTGCGTCGTGTTGCCGCAACGTACCCTGAATACCCATAGAGTGATGTTTCTTTGGTTGGTCTGTCCCGTACGGTGACGCTGATAGTGATGGGCGTGCCTGAACTCGACTCTCGCCCAGAGAGTAGCTCGCTTGATCCTGAGGGGTTCCAAGGCCGGTTCCCCGCTGGACATCGGGAACTCCAGCAACGGTTGCCCGTTCAGCGTTCGTCCTGCGTGCAGAACAACAAAGACGATGTAGTCGAATCGGCTCGATTCTATCGACGAACCGAACGGAGAGGCGGACAGGGATGCGGAAAGATGCGGTAGGATGCGGATAGAGGCGGTGGACGGAAAAAGAAACGGGGCAGCGGAGGGACAGTCGTGAAAACGCGCGATGCGTGAAATCGCGAGAGCTCGTTCCCGCGGTTTTCCTTTTCGTTCATCTCCGTTCCGTGGCTGCGGAACTTATCGATTTTTTGAATACCTTCCGCAAACCACTCCCCCGCGACCCATGTCGGTTCCCATGGCCCGTACTCTTGCCATCGGGCGGCCGCGCCGGTCCGCGCCGCGCCGCGCCGGGCCGAGCCAAGCCGAACCGTGTCCTCGCTACGCCCGCCTCGACCGCCTCGACCGCTCTTGCCGCCGATAAACCTATCGCGATCGTAACTTCCACGCGGCAAAGTTTGCGAGACACCCGATGACGAGGTTGCGGGACAACGTTTTTCCTCAGCTTCCGCTAAATCCGTGTGCCTCCGAGAAGGGCGAGAGACCGACGCGCGAGAGGGTGACGAGGCAGACGAGGGCGACGAGAACAAGAGCGGGATCGCTCTATCTCGTACGGCAGCCACCGCTTTCGCGGAAGATACGTGTACGATCTATTTGGGAAATTACCGAGAATACGATCGACGCCCGAGAGAATCGAGAGAACCGGGGGTATAGCAGGAAGGGGATTGCCGAGACGAGACTAGCCTGAAAAATTCAGCAAGACCGCCGTCGCGCATCCTTTTAATCGTCGATCCACGACCGGTCGATGGGCAAAAGCGAAACGGTAAAAAAGAGAAAAGACGGAAAAAAAAGAAAAAGGAAAGCGGGACGAAGTGGGACGGGCCGCGAGGAAAGAGCTAGAGCCAGGAGCGATCGCAGCGGTCAGAGGGTGGATTTTTCGGTAGACGGGTCGTGTTCTTTTTGCTCCCGCTGTATCTCCACCGCGCCCACCCCTTCGACGTCGTCGCCGTCGTCGTTGTCGTCGTCGCCGTCGTCGTAGCCGTGTAGTGCAAACAGCCGAACGAAAAGAAAAAGACCCGGACTAGAGGCAGGGGGAACGAGCGAGATGGAGTCAACGGTGTAATGCACCGAGCGGTACATGCAACGGTAACGAGTGCAGGCGTGCGTACGTTCGTGCGCTCGTGCGTGCTCGCGTGCGTGCGCGCGTGGCTGCGTGCCTGCGAACGCGTGAATGTGTGTCTCAGGGGGCGGGGGTGCAACCTGCCTGGCGGCGTATTACGCGCGGACACGCGGGGAAGAGGGTGCCGCATACACCGAGCCGATCCCCGATGAAATACAACACGCGAGAGAAGGTAGATTTCTCTATCCGGCCGTCTCTCTCGCTCCACCGTTCCTCTCCGATCCTCCCTCTTCCCCTCTCTCTTTCTCACCCTCGTTCTCGCTCGCGCAGGAGCGTAACAAGAGATACGTCGCGGCTATCGAGCAACGACGATGGCCAAACGGCGATGCGTGTCAGCGCGCGAATAGACGTGTGTGCACGCGTGTGTGTACGCGCGTGTGTCGCGGGGCGGGTGGGGGGAGGGGCGCGACGGCGCGCGCGCGCGCGTACAAGCCGATCTATCCGCGAATGTCTTTGCTGTGGTGCGCGCCTGTGCGTTACATTGAAAGCAGGGCGGCTTCATCCCTTAACGGTTTGGTGAGTCACGGACCGGGAGTCGTCGGAGGGGCGGGGATAAGCATGGGGTGTCTGCCGCCCGTCTGCCTTCCGCTAACCACCCCCGCTCCTCTCTTTCTCCTTCGCTGCTCTCTCTCTCTCTCTCTCTCTCTTTCTCTCTCACACACACACATACATACACACACACACACTCTCTTTCTCTCTCCTGCCGCTCCTCGCGCCCCTGTCTCGTCCCGCCCGTTACCTTCTTTTCTCTTGTGCAGCCAGCCTGCAAGCACCACCGACACCGACGCCGACACCGACACCGACTCCGACTCCGACTCCGACTCCGACTCAAACACCGACATCGACACCGACACCGACACCGACACCGACACCGACACCGACACCGACACCGACACCGACACCGACACCGACACCGACACCGACACCGACACCGACACCGACACCGACACCGACACCGACACCGACACCGACACCGACACCGACACCGACACCGACACCGACACCGACACCGACACCGACACCGACACCGACACCGACACCGACACCGACACCGACACCGACACCGACACCGACACCGACACCGACACCGACACCGACACCGACACCGACACCGACACCGACACCGACACCGACACCGACACCGACACCGACACCGACACCGACACCGACACCGACACCGACACCGACACCGACACCGACACCGACACCGGCATCGACACCGCCGGAGGCTCCCCTGCGAGAGTCAACGACGCCCACACCCCCGCTCTTGCTCTCGCCCGCTCCGCGCACGAGTCTCCTCGCCTAGCCGCGACGCGACGCGACACGACGCGGGCCGCCGCGACGCCAGCCGCGGAGAAATTCAACCCACCGGCCTCCCGGCAACGCGCTTAACCTTTTAAGTGCGGACCGACCGATATACACTGCTGCTCAAAAGTCGGGGATCGTCCGAGATGCGAGCTAGGCCAAGCTGGTACATCGCTTAGCGCCGAGAGAAAGAGAGATCGTCCTTCTCGCGACAGCAGAGATCGCGAAGACGTCGGAAGCTAAAAGGATAGACGCGCGGCGTCCGACGATCCGGTCTTTGGAAAATTCGAAAGGAGGTGTCCTGGCTCCGGCCGTTCGTTCGAGGCACGCGTTTTCGCGGCGCCGAAATCGATGCGGAATTTCTTGGAGCCAGCGGCACAGGGGATTTTGGCGGCTACGCGAAGCAGGGAGGCGCGCGCGGAGGGAGGGTGGAATCGCGTTCGGCCGACCTCGACCCGGTTGCTTTTTTCGAGGGAAAAATGCAACGATGGAAAAATGAAACTGTGGTCGAGGGGCGACCCCGCGGGTTGCCAAAACTCGTTAAACCGAGGAGAGGCTGTCTTTCCGTCGGTCGCGGACGAAGGGTAGTCTCGCGACTTTTGAGCGCCGTTGTAGCAGCCAAGCCCCGAGGCCCGGAGTTCGTCTTCGCACCCTCCTCTCGTGGCTCTCCGCAGGTTCTCTCTCGTGGCCTCTTGCGTCCACCTATCACCGTATTCACACCTCGTTCGTCGCTTCGCATCCGAGAGTTGCTCGCAGCGTGGCTGGAAGCGTCGTCTCGTGCTCCCTCTCGTTATGAACGCTCTTGCGAACTCGTTCAAAACGTTGCTGCTCGCGCGCGCACGGGGTGCTTCTTTCACGCGACGCGACAGCGGTTTCGTACGTTCCGTTGTTGTCTCGCTCGTCGTCGTCGCCGGAACAAATCGTTCGAGCGACTCGACTCGGGGAATTCTCGGTCCTCGGTTCCTCGGCTGCTCGGCTGCTCGGCTGCTCGGTTCCTCCTCGGTCTTGGGAGAGCGTGATCGATACGGGATCGTCCATCACGCGCCGCGCGCCGCGAGATTTTGGCTCGCGGATCAGGGAAAGCTGCCACGAGACTGGTCTCGGGGTCGCGGCGCTCGTTTCTCGGTGGCTCCGTGGCTCCGTGACTCCGTGGCTTCGTGTTTCAATAAGACCGTTGCGTTCCAGCCGAGCATTATAACTTACAAGTTATACCGAATTACTGCGAAATAACGAGGCCGGGGAGTTTCATCCAAAAAGAATGCAGCCTCTGCTTCCTCGCTCCTTCCTTCTCCGTTCCGCCGACGAAGCCGGTCGATCGTTTTCAGCTCCGGATCTCTCCTTTCTTTCCTCCCTAATTCCGGAGCGTCTCTAAAAATACTCGTTTGCTCGCGAACAAGATCGGCCACCGTCGTAGCGCGGAGCTGCGGGTAGACGAAAAGGGAGAGAGAGAGGGTGTCGAAGCGGAACGATCCACGTATTTAGTTTACAGGAACGAGTAGCAGAGAGCCCGACCGGTGGCGAGGCCGAGCGTGAGCGCCAGTAAATATTAAAGATTGCGGGATTCGTCGGGCCGAGGAGGCGGGCGACGGGCGACGCGCGACGGAAGACGGGAGGAGACGCGACGGACGCGGCCGACGCGAACAGGGCAAGCACCGTCTGTCGGTGCGGATTTCGACGACCGATAAATAAAATAGCTCCGAGAGGAGATACCCTCGATTCCGATGCTTCGGGAACGAACGCCCCGTAAAAAACAGGATCGATGGGACATTAATGCCGCACGGTTATGTCGTTCCACATGGCGAACTCTCGAATAACCGTACCGCGGGCGCTGTTCGACTCGCGCCCCCTGCGAATTCATCTTCTCGCGGCGAAGATACGTTCGACCACCCCTCCCTTCGCCACCCTTCGCCTCTCGTCGCCTCTCGTCGCCTCTTTTCGCCGCGGTCGCCGTTCGATCGGGTCGCATCGTTTACCGTCATTAATATCGCCGTTTCCTCATCGTTTCTCCCGTAGAACGCACCTCGAATTCCACATCGCCGAATATTCCAGTTCCGTCCCCGAGGAAGTTCTGCCGGGACTCGGAGGACCATGCGACCGGATCAACCGCTAGCCGCTGCGCTCACGACGACCGAATCAAATTGAAAAGCGTTCCAACGACGGTCGAAACTAGGGCGGGGGTGAGAACCTTTGTCTTGCTCGTGGCATGGCGCGGCGTCGCCTATATGGAACATATGTGGACATCCACAATGGAGGAGGGTATAAAGCGTGGCTCCGGAAAGCTTTTCGTCCTTGGCACGTGATCGACAAAAAGTAATTCGGATTTTTAGCGGTGAAATATCTGTGACACAATTGCGACTAGAAGACGATGAAATCACCGCTCGCGGCGACATCTCGCGCGAACATTTATCTTTTCGGAATATCGCCCGCGATATTCCTTGCTCCCCTATTTCTTTCACCTTGTCCGCGCCTCTCCCTCTTTCTCTCCTCCGAACACGGAGAAACGGAGATAACGAAGAACGC